GTGGGGACACAGCAGCAGTTGTGACGGTCCGCGTGGGGAGAGTAGCTCACACGCGGGTGAGGGGACGTGGACGTTGGGCCACCAGCCCCATACCAAGCCAGCCAGGCCCTGGGAGGGGAACGGAAGGAGAAAGCAAGAAGGGCCACCCCTCGGGCAGTTCAGGCTGGAGAGGAAGCATTTTGCAGACTGAGCGCCTGCCGCTGTCTCATGGCCAACAGGCCTGGAGGGAGACTTGTGTCCTATCTTACACACGGGGAACGAGGCTCCGTGTGGGAGGTAGGCAGCCATGGCTGGAACCCAAGCCTCCAACCTAGCTGAGTGGAAACATGGGATGGTCAGCGTCCCTCGTGCCACGGAGCCTGACACCCGCAGATGGGGTACGGGCACAGGAGGCCAGGCCCCCACCACCCTGGACAAGCAGCCGGGCCTGCCTTATCTCCTCCTCTGAAGCTGTCTCTAGGAGGCCCTGAGCACCCTGGAGCCTGTCTGGGTCACAACTCAGGATTCAGGCTACCCGGGCCGTGGCCCCCTGACGCAGCCGTGTGTCACCCGCAGCTGGGCACTGTGTACACAGAAGGAGGATTCGTGGAAGGTGTGAACAAGAAGCTCAGCCTCTTGGGTGGCGACTCCGTGGACATCTTCAAGGGCATCCCCTTTGCCACCGCCAAGACCCTGGAGAACCCACAGCGTCACCCTGGCTGGCAAGGTGAGGACAGGGCTGCTGGGTGCCCGTGGGCGGGTGGTGAGGGCAGCTTGTGACGCATGCCATCCGCTCCTGCCTCCCACAGGGACCCTGAAGGCCAAGGACTTCACGAAGCGATGCCTGCAGGCCACACTCACCCAGGACAGCACTTTCGGGGACGAAGACTGCCTCAACCTCAACATCTGGGTCCCCCAGGGCAGGAAGCAAGGTCCGGTCCCACAGCCAGGGGGAACCTCCAGGCCTGAGCCGTGGCCCTGCACTGGGTAGTGGAGGGGGCTGCAGAGCAGAAATTCCCTGAAATGAACCCAGAGGTGGGCGCAGGGGGCTCCCACCACTTGTCCCCTACCTAGGGCAGGGTGCCTGCTGCACAGGGGACAGACAAGGGACTGAGAAGGGAGATACAGGGCGGGCATCTGAGTTCACCATCCTGTTCCCCACCTCAGTCTCCCAGGACCTGCCTGTGATGATCTGGATCTACGGTGGGGCCTTCCTCATGGGGGCTGGCCAAGGGGCCAACTTCCTCAGCAACTACCTGTACGACGGGGAGGAGATCGCCACCCGCGGCAACGTCATTGTGGTCACCTTCAACTACCGCGTCGGCCCCCTGGGCTTCCTCAGCACTGGAGACGCCAACCTGCCAGGTCCGCGGGGCGCTCTGGGGCTGGGACAGCCAGTGTCATTGGCACCCACGGTGTGCACACCCCGGATCACCGTGCCCATCCCCCTGCAGCCCCACCAGGGGCTGGGTGACAACTCCTCCCTCCTCCGCCCTCAGGTAACTATGGCCTTCGGGATCAGCATATGGCCATCGCCTGGGTGAAGAGGAACATCGCGGCCTTTGGGGGGGACCCCAACAACATCACCATCTTTGGGGAATCAGCAGGAGGTGCCAGCGTCTCTCTGCAGGTCTGGGGGTCCTTGGCAGGGAGGACCTGACCCCAAGTTCTGGGAAGGAGCAGGGGAAGGTGGGAGCGGGAGAGCAGGCTCAGGGGCGGGCTGGGTGTGCTCAGCCTGGGAACCAGTGGGTGACAGGCTCCTGGCTGTCGCAGACCCTGTCCCCCTACAACAAAGGCCTCATCCGGAGGGCCATCAGCCAGAGCGGTGTGGCACTGAGCCCCTGGGCCATCCAGCACAACCCCCTCTTCTGGGCCCAAAAGGTAAGCCCAGGAGGGCAGGGGTGGGCAGGGCGGGGTCTCTGATGGACACCCCGGTGGGCAGGGGGGCCCTTGCTCGTTCCCGTCCTCTGTCCCTAGTCCTGTCCGCACTCGTTGGCCTCACCTGACCGGCTGCCTTTGCCCTTCCCCAGGTCGCCAAGAAGGTGGGCTGCCCCGAGGACGACACGGCCAGGATGGCCGAGTGTCTGAAGGTTACGGACCCCCGGGCTCTGACTTTGGCCTACAGATTGCCCTTGAAAGCACAGGAATGTGAGTGGGGGCTTGGGGTGGGGCCATACGGGGTGCAAGAGTGTGGAAGCCCTTGCTGTGGAGGAGAGGAACATGCTGGCTAGGCCCTGGCCCACTCTCACTCTTGGGGTCTCCAGCAGCTGGCATCAGGCATGGGGGGCAGTAGTAAGGGGGTGGGCTTCTCCTCTCCTCCTATCCGCTGTGAACCCCAGTGTCTGCTCGAGAAGCTGATGAACTCACGGTCCCTACCAGGCCCCAACAATGCCTGGGTTGGCAGCACTGCTCCCACACTTAGGGGGATTCCCGGACCCCAGACCCAGTGTGGAAACATTGGGCCTTTCCAGCAGGACCCAGCTGGAGGCTCCTAGCAGTGCTGCTCCCCAGCCAGGCTGTGCAGCTCCCTCCTGCTCTCTCCTCAGCCAGAGCCCACCGAGCCCCGTCACCTGCATCTTTACCCAATGGGCACGAACCTCCAAGTCTGTGCAGGACAAAGCCAAGCAAATGCTATGGCCCAATGCAGCCTCCCCACACCTGCGTTTGTCTCTTCCTGGTGCTGGGGATCAAGCTCAGCCGGTGCATGCTGAGCGTTCTGCCCCTGTGCTGCGCTCCTGGCCCCAACAACCAATGTTGTTTGGAGTCTGCTGCAGAAAAGCAGCGTGGGACCTGCGCAAACCTGGGGCACCCCCGCCCGACTCAGCTACTTTGTGTGCTGGTGCCAGCCAAGCGTAGCGCCAATCTATCTTGCACTGTGGCTGGCTCCCAGAGGAGACCCTGCCCCGAGAGAGGGCTGTCCTTTTCCCCATCAGCCACTCCATGCTGCCAGGTCTTCCCAGCTCTTGATTTAAATCCAGCAAGAAGAGAGGGAGGGCAGCAGGGGACTGATGCTGAAGCAAAGGGACAGACCTGGGCCCTACCACAGTGCGCCCTCCAGGTGGGGCCATGTGGCAATGTCCGCACACATTTATGATCGTCACCAGGGGAGAAGGGGCACCACTGGCATCTGGTGGGTTGTAGTAAGCAGTGTAACCCAACAGCCCACACTGGAGGACAGCCCCGCCCAGTGTAGGGTTCTCCAGTCCTGCCTCCTCCAGCCAGGATTGAAAAACCATGGTGTAGACCAGAGAAGGACTCTGGGTGAACTCTGGTTACAAAGGGCGGGCCAGATGTGCTGGAGGTACATGAACCTGCTTCCTCCTCCCAGACCCTGTGTTGCACTATCTGGGCTTTATCCCTGTTGTTGATGGAGACTTCATCCCTGATGACCCGCTCAACCTGTTTGCCAATGCTGCTGACATCGACTACCTAGCAGGCACCAACAGCATGGATGGCCACCTCTTTGCCACTGTTGACATGCCAGCCATCGACAAGTCCTACAAGGACATCACAGAGTAAGCAGTGGGCCAGGACTCAAGGGCAGAGTGCTTGGGGACAGCTGGGAAGAAGCGGCCTGGGAATCTGCCCCAAAGGCAGAACACATCAGTAGAGGGGCAGATTGAGGCAGGTGGCGCTGTGTTGGGGGCGGACACGCAGACGGCCTCCTGGTGGCGCTAGGGGCAGAGTCTGGTGCCTGCTTGGTCCCTGCAGGGAGGACTTCCACTGGCTGGTCAGCGGGCTCACCACGACCAAGGGGCTGGATGGTGCCAGGGCCGCCTTTGACATCTACACCGAGTCTTGGGCTCAGGACCCATCTCAGGAGACCAAGAAGAAGACAGTGGTGGACCTGGAGACCGACATCCTCTTCCTGATGCCCACGGAGATAGCCCTGGCCCAGCACAGAGCCAACGCCAAGTGAGGGTCTGGGAAGAGGGTGGCTTCCTGGGGGCGGGGGGCCTAGGATGCTGCCCCTTCCTCT